AACCATCTCACACTTTTTGACCCCTATTAAGAGAAACCATTTCTAACATTTCTGTAATACTATTTACAGTTCAATTGCAATGAGCTACAAGTTCATCAATTTGCAATCAGCAATAGCATTATCAATCTGTTTAAATTTATGTAAAAATATACCTGTGGTAGTTTCAGCGCTTCTATTTGGTCGGTATTAAACACACCACTTATGCTGGATACCATCGAGTCTTGCTGCTTTATGAGATTGTCAATCTGGGTGTAAAGTTACATAAAAGCATATGTACATATAAGACTTACGCACCACTGTAGATCAAACGAGAAATAGATGACCCAACATAGCATTTAAATATATAATTATAAGCAGTCTCACCTGCCTCCTTAACCTGCGAATCTCTAACTTCAAGGCCTCACAGTTCTGGCATGCGTCTGGCGCAGGAGGTGGATCATGACTTTCGCATGCAACAGCGTGCTCTACATCATCACTTTTGAGGAGCTACATGGGTGGCTTAGTATAGGAATGTATGAAGCCTGGTCCAGTATCCATCGGCCTCTCAGATTCCTCGATAGTCTCTGATAAAACAATATACATACGTATGTACACGCACGCACATGCGCGCGCACACACATTATACTTGCATAGATATTATATGAATAATATCAAGAGTACATAATAGAGATCTCTATAATGTCCTCTTGATAATATGTGAATATATACCAATTTTCGCCAGGGATGCTGCATTTCGTTTGCGATTAACCTCCAACTGCTTTGGTGCATTCGGCACGTCGAATAACGTCGGGATGCCATTTGGTTTCAGTTTTTTTCTTCCATCCTGTCTTTTTTGCTCAAATTGTGATTTTTCAAAATGAGCCTGAAGAAAGAGTTGAGGTAAAATTAATTGGCTATTAATATGGATCAAGGTAACTGTCGCAATGTGAACCCTGCTATACCCTGTTGTATTCCGACCGGGGCTATAGTTATATGTGTATAGGTATATGTGTTTCAGGTTGTGTATTCTCTATCATTTAATTGGGGGGAGTTCATGTTGCATTTTGCATAGGGTATACCTCACACATGTAACTGTAGTTTGTGGGCTCCCACTTGTCACGTCGACAGTTGATAACCCATTGTTTCCTCCGACTTGGATCTTTGGGAAATATGAGCATTTTATATCCTTTGTTGGCTGCATTTGTGCAGTTGGGTGCCGCACAATGTGGCATTGCGCTCACAGAGTTGTCGACTCACTTGTACCGTGATGCTGTAATAACCCAAAAGCAATATACAAGTTGTGCTATAAATATAATAATACAATAATATACACTTTACTATAAGAGCTAAGAGTTGTACTGAATGTACATTCTTATTTACTGCAACTACGTACTACATTAACACTTCTGCGTTATCTGGTATTATAATTTACACAGGCATGTGCAAATATCCCTAGTCTCTACTCTGTAATGTTGTGTTTATGTAATAAAGCCATTTACTGATCTATTATAGATCCGCGAGTACAGTTATTACTTAATAATATATATATATATATGAAATATATAGTATATGATCAGTGAGTAGATAATCGCCGCGCACGGGAAAGGAGTGATTACAGTCAATAAAGCAAGGAAATGTCGTCATTTAGCTAGCCGTTTATAATATCCTACGCATTACTACGCGTACAACTCACTCCCAACGGTTGACTCAAATCGACACAGTACATGTGTGCAGTAGCATCGTGCGGAATCGTCCTCGTATACACCCCCGACCCGCAATTCCTGGAGAATACGGAGACTAAGAGACGCTACGACACGATCTCCTACGCATTCTTCTGCGTGCCACTTCAAGTCCAAAGGCCATTGTGCGCCCTATAAATTCAAGGAACGAAAAGGCAGCCTACCAACCACAGGCTGTTGCTAACCGGTCCCCGGCCGTGAGCGAATGTGGCCCTCCTGGGCAGACGATTTGAGCACGCCGGGGATCAGCTAACAGCGCTGCCTGCTGATCTGGCCGGTTGGTGCGCTGCCACTGCACTGAACGCGACATCGGCCAGGCATATGTGCAGGGGAAAGGTCGGCCTGTGTAGCTGTGTACCGGGTCAAAGGTTGAATGCTCACCGACGTGGTTGATGGCCGTACATCTCGCGCGAGCGAGCCACATGCCCGTGCGCGCGAGTTGATCAGCATAGCGCGGGTTAGGATACCTGCCTTTTGTTTCACACTCACACGGCGCTCGCGCAATGGCCTTTGGATTGATGGCCGAAAGAATGAGGAAATCGTGTCGTACGTTTGTAGTCTGTATCTCCAGATTGCGGGCTCGTATACGAGGAAAACGATTTCGCCGCGACTGCTACCGCCGAATCGTAACTGTGGGTCCGCCGATTTGAGCTCAAGCTGGAGTAGTTAGCGTAGTAAAGATCGTAGGTATGAATAAGGCTTAGTAAATATGACCGAAATTTCCGCTTGTGTGATATTCGATGTCACACTCCTTTCGTATCTATGCTTACTGCCCTGAAGATATACGTATAGCTAGCGGTAATACATGATGTCTCCTGCGTTTAGCTGCCTGAGTGTATAATCTAGGTACATGCCTCATGTCGATGTCGTATAAGAATAATGCGCAAGCCGTCTGTTTGAGAGCATGACTTGAAGGGGTCGTCATGACCGCGCGCATTTCATCATCGATTGTCATGTAGCACTAACACTACTGTCGTGAGATCAAATGACGATTTACTACACTATTGCAGCCTCATGAAAGAATAGTCTTCAAAGTCCAAGGGACTCATAACTAGTATAGGTCCGACGAAGGCGGAAGACGAGAAGTCAAGACGGCAGGTGGCAGACACTGCGCCGATCCGCAGTGGGAACCAATCACGGATACTATACTCAGTCATCTATTATTATACTCTTTAACAGCCGTTCGCGTTTGCGTCTGAAAATGCAGCACTGAATCCAGTTGCAGGCTAACCCCGGAGATATGCAGGCTAGACCTTGACGACCGGACATTCATTGCAAATTTCATTTTATACTGATTTGAGTGGTTTATTCACGCTAGAAAGTCGAAAAGAGATCGGCTTGTTATTGTAATATCACTATGTGTCGTCGTTTACATTTTAAGCCAGTCACGTGACCGTGTTTCTACGCATGGGAACATGGCACCGTATGGCACGTGATCATGTATAGCCTAATCCGTTTCAACTTCTCTGTTATATATAAAATTCGTTCTCCAGTAGGGGCCTGACAAGTTTGGTGCGAAAATTTGGAATCAGAACGAAGAGGTTGATCGTCTGGAATAATCGCTGCACACGGCAGTTTTCCTACCTTCCTTTATATATATTATTATTATAACGAAGCGCGCCAAACAGGCAGCACTCGCCAGCGGCAAGTGTGCTGGGTGTTGGGCGTTAAGTTTATTATGAAGGAAAGTTGATATAGCCAGTGACACATCACAGTGGTAAACTGTAAAATTTAGAGGTATGGTACGTACTAGTATTTTGTGACTGGCGTTCAATCATTATTTTTTTTCATTTTTTTTATTCTTTTTTTTTTGTATCTTTCTTCTCCATTAATGCCTGTGGGCACAACAGTAAGAAATGTCACAAAAAGCGGTAGTTTTGTGACTGCGTTCATAATTACTTGCTCTTATTTTAACGTTTTTACTGAGCTCGCTAACACTGGGATCATGGCAGGTAACGTGGCAGATGTTGGTTGTCCACGTACACTTACCAAGGGGCCTGTCACACCGTCCAGAACTCAACCAGGATCTGTTCAGCGAAGCAGTGGAGCACTAGTAGCCGCGGAGCGCGAGGCTGTGCGGACGGATTTGTCTAATAGCAGCCTCGACGACATGCCGGCTTGCAGTACCAAGGCAAAAAAGGAAACCCCGTATCAACGCACTCTGCAGATGCGCGCAGTAATGAGAGCGGGGATACTAGAGGTAAGTCGTTGAGCGTGGGAAGAAGGTGTTGACACCGGGCGAAGTGCTAGAAGAGGGGCAGCGCTACGAATCATCGCGCGCGCCGCTTCCTCGCGCCGAGAACCACCGGCGGCATGCCCGGCGACGCGCGACCGGAACTGCAGGGACACGTCGCAAGCGACAGCAGGTATGCAGGGCGGCTGGCAGCGTATGGATCCGTCGGCGGCCGGCCGAATGCATTCACGCCTCCGCGGCGGCACCGCATCATAGCTGCCTAGGGCGGAACAGTCTGCAACAATTTAGATGGGGAGACCAGCAGAGGGCAGACGACATTGGGTACGTAACAGTGTTCACATTGTTATAACAACATAATGTCGATCTGTTCCGTCAGCGGCTACTTGTAGCCTGTGTGGCAGCGGCGGCGAAATCAGGCAGAAGACAATGACGAAATTTTCTGTCGTGCGATGTCGCCTTATGAACAACTATCGCCCAGTAATCGATCGAAGATGGGCTGCGGCGAAAGGACATGAAGGGCTCATATGAGACTGGGAGTCTGCCTCACCCCGTGCGATTACATGCCATTCGAGTGACTTAGAGGCCTAGAGCCCGAAGGTGGAAGGCGGGTGCGCCAGTCTAGTGGGACTATAGGCGGCCGGCGCGCAGTCTGGCGGCGGCACTGCTTCGCAACATGCCGGCGTAGGCCGGCAGGCAGGCCTCGCTGCATTGAAGACAGTGCACCATGACATACGCTACGGGCAGGTGTCTGCGGCGCTGACCAGCAGCGCATACGTTCTATTTAGCTGAGGGGCAAGCTTGGCGCAGAACCCGCGCGAGAATTTCGTCAGTGGACTGTGTGAGTTTCTGCCCAAATGAGCACAGGCTCGTACGAACAGAAGAGCATTTAATGTTTTATCAACACAGGTGAATACTGTTGGATTGCAATGGAGACGCAGGCCCAAACAAAGGGGATCGGCTAAGGGCTAAGTTGATATGTGTGATCTCCCGTGGCTGTGAATGTTCAAATGTAGTGAAGCGTCGGATGCGGAGATTTGGGCATCCAGCAGCGCACGCTCTACTACCGTGCTATGATATCTACTTAGTGGCTAAGCGCGGTGNACTTCGTCGACTGCAAGAACTGCGTGGCGTTCTTCTGGCTTCATCTGGCTTAATTTTACTGCAAGCAGATCTATTATAGTCTCCTGTATCCCTGGTGAAAATTCTAGGTTTTGAAACCTAGAAGAAGTGAGGCATATGATTTATTTACAATTGCAATTTTCATCACTATAAATGTATATGAATGCACAAACACACGCACACACATACATAGAACTGTATTCATATCTATGTATACATGATCAATAATACCAACCTGTAACACAGGGTTCTGAGTGTTGGCAGCGGGTAACTTTTTTCTCGCAGAAAATTGTACCCTGTTACTCCCAGGACGCACCTTAGCTGCATTGCCTCACGCACTGTTACATGTGACCATCTCACATTTTTAGACCCCTATTAAGAGAAACCATTTCTAACTTTTCTGTAATATTATTTACAGTTTAATTGCAATGAGCTATAAGTTCATCAATTTGCAATCAGCAATAGCATTATCAATCTGTTTAAATTTATGTAAAAATATACCTGTGGTAGTTTCATCGCTTCTATTTGGTCGGTATTGAACACACCACTTATGCTGGATACCATCGAGTCTTGCTGCTTTATGAGATTGTCAATCTGGGTGTAAATTAAGTTACATAAAAGCATATGTACATATAAGACTTACGCACCACTGTAGATCAAACGAGAAATAGATGACCCAATATAGCATTTATATATAATTATAAGCAGTCTCACCTGCCTCCTTAACCTGCGAATCTCTAACTTCAAGGCCTCACAGTTCTGGCATGCGTCTGGCGCAGGAGGTGGATCATGACTTTCGCATGCAACAGCGTCCTCTACATCAGCACTTTTGAGGAGCTCCATGGGGGGCTTAGTATAGGAATGCATGAAGCCTGGTCCAGTATCCATCGGCCTCTCACATTCCTCGATAGTCTCTGATAAAACAATATACAAACGTATGGACATGCAGGCACATGCGCGCGCACACACATTATACTTAATTGCATACATATGATATGAATAATATCAAGAGTACATAATAGAGATCTCTATTATGTTCTCTTTATAATATGTGAATATATACCAATTTTCGCCAGGGATGCTGCATTTCGTTTGCGATTAACCTCCAACCGCTTTGGTGCATTCGGCACGTCGAATAACGTCGGGATGCCATTTGGTTTCAGTTTTTTTCTTCCATCCTGTCTATTTTGCTCAAATTGTGATTTTTCAAAATGAGTCTGAAGAAAGAGTTGAGGTAAAATTAATTGGCTATTAATATGGCTCAAGGTAACTGTCGCAATGTGAACCCTGCTATACCCGGCCTGTTGTATTCCAACCAGGGCTATAGTTATATGTTTATAGGTATATGTGTTTCAGGTTGTGTATTCTCTATCATTTAATTGGGGGAAGTTCATGTTGCATTTTGTATAAGGTATACCTCACACAGGTAACTGGAGTTTGTGGGCTCCCACTTGTCACGTCGACAGTTAATAACCCATTGTTTCCTCCGACTTGGATCTTTTGGAAATACGAGCATTTTATATCCTTTGTTTGCTGCATTTGTGCAGTTGGGTGCCGCACAATGTGGCATTGCGCTCACAGAGTTGTCGACTCACTTGTACCGTGATGCTGTAATAACCAAAAAGCAATACAAGTTGTGCTATAAATATAATAATACAATAATATACACTTTACTATAAGAACTAAGAGTTGTACTGACTGTACATTCTGATTTACTGCAAATACTACGTTAACACTATTCTGCGTTACCTGGTATTATAATTTACACAGGCATGTGCACATCGTCTCTACTCTGTAATGTTGTGTTTATGTAATAAATTTAAAGCCATTTAGCAGATTTATTTATAGATTCGCGAGTACAAGTTTTTTATTATTCAGATAAGACTATATATATTTACTATTGATGTCCTGCGTTACTCTTGTCTTGGTTTAAGTTGGTTATATCTAGGTATGTCTATGTCGATGTCTATAAGAATACTGCGCAAGGTGTGTTACTGTTACTGTAGTTGAGGGCAGTGACTCGACAAGGATGTTGAGCCCGGCACGCATGTTTCATATAATCGCATTGCAACTCGTACACTAAACTCTGGTCTGTGAGACAAAATGTCGATTTACTACACTATTCAACCTCATAAAGAATAGTCTTCAAAGGTCCAAGGGACTATAACTAGTATAACGAAGGTGGGGAGACAAGATCAAATCGGCAAATCAACACTGCGGATCGCAGTGAAAACAAATCACTATAGGCCTACTATTACTAGTACTCGTACTACTGACGTATTATCTACTTATAGGTCGGGCCCGTTCGTTGTTGGATGGGGCTTGTTGAAAATCAAGACAACCGGACGAGATTCATTTTTGGCTCAAATTTTATGTTTTATATTATTTGTATGTTTGTACTGTACGGCTAGGACAAGTAGAAAAAAAATGCGCTTTGGTGAGGGGATCATATGGTGCTCGCTTCTGTTCTAATGTTAGCAAGTCACGTGAAAAGGTTTCTACG